TCATATAACTCATAGCTTTATCTTTTTTCCCAGCTGGAACTCATAATATTCTTGATATAAACAGTTGATGATTTAATGTATTGGGAATTCGCATAATCAACTTTGATTTTTTTTGTCAGTCTTGATTTGAACACATTGGTGAAATTTTTTATAAAACGTAAAGAACAATGTAGGCCCTGCATTGGTATATGTCAATGGCTAAATGGATAAGGACATTTTGAAATCATTTGATTTGATCAGCCTTTTGACAAATCTTTCTATTCTCTCTTCTGTTATGTGCATGTACCTTTAAAGCATCATGATCCAAGCTATATCCTCAACCACTTCCTGTAGTAGTGTTCCACATTCATGTCAATCTGGGTGAAGAATGTCTCCTTATTTCCCTATTCGATTTAGATGTAACTATCCTGTATTTATAGTTTTGGATTCTCCCATAAATGGAAACATTCTTTCCACATCAATCCTATCCAATTCATTCAAACCAATGGTTTGGACATGGGGATTAAATGTAATATTTACATAGCAGATAGCAGAAAGCTAGGTGGGAATGTGTGCTGTGAGGAAGATGCAAAGTGACTTCAAGAAGATGTAGATGGACTTGGTCGTGGGCGAAAACATTGCAGGTAGAATATAATGTAGAAAAATGTGAATTTATCCACATTGGAAGAACAGATATGCAGCTAGAGATAGTAGGAACTGCCGATGCTGGAGTCTGAGATAACAAGGTGTGGAGCTGGATGAACAAAGCAGGCCAGGCAGCATCAGAGGAGCAGGAGAGCTGATGTTTCGGGTCTGGACCCCTTTTCAGAAATGGGGGAGGGGAAGGGAGCTCTGAAATAAATAGAGAGGGGGGCGGTGATAGAAGGTGGATAGTGGAAGGTGGGAGAAAAGACGGACAGGTCAAGGAGGCGGGGCTGAAGCTAGTACAGGTGAGTGTAGGTAGGAAGTGGGGGTGGGGTTGGTCAGTGAGGTGGGAGGAGCAGATAGGTGGGAGAGAGGACAGACAGGTCAAGGAGGCGGGGATGAAGCTAATAAAGGTGAGTGTAGGTAGGAAGTTGGGGTGGGGTTTGGTCAGTGAGGTGGAAGGAGTGGATAGGTGGGAGAGAAGACAGACAGGTCAAGGAGGCGGGGATGAGAGGGGGGATCTGGTCTTGGGATAAGGTCAGGGGTGGGGAGACTTTGAAGCTAGTAAAGTCCACATTGAGATTATTGGATTGTAGGGTTCCAAGGTGGAATATGAGGTGCTGTTCCTCCAGTTTCCGAGCGGCATCGTTGTGACACTGGAGGAGGCCCAGGATGGACATATCGTCCAGGGAGTGGGAGGGGGAGTTGAAGTGGTTTGCAACTGGGAGGTGTTGTCGTTTGTCGCGAACCGAGTGTAGGTGTTCCACAAAGCAGTCTCCAAGCCTCCGCTTGGTCTCCCCGACGTAGAGGAGGCCACATCAGGAACAGCGGATACAATACACCACATTAGCGGATGTGCAGGTGAACATCTGTTTAATGTGGAAGGTTTTTTTGGTGCCTGGGATGGGGGTGAGGGGGGGAAGTGTAGGGGCAGGTGTAGCACTTCCTGCAGTTGCAGGGAAAGGTGCCTGGGGTGGTGGGGCTAGTGGGGAGTGTGGAGCAGATGAGGGAGTCACGGAGAGAGAGGTCCCTCTGGAAGGCAGCTAAGGGTGGGGAGGGAAATATATCCTTGGTAGTGGGGTCAGATTGCAGGTGGCAGAAATGGCGGAGAATGATGCGTTGAATCTGGAGGTTAATGGGGTGATACGTGAGGACAAGGGGAATTCTGTCTTTGTTGTTATTGCGGGGAGGGGCTGTGAGGGCTGAGGTGCGGGAAATGCAAGAGATGCAGCGAGGGCGTTTTTGACCACTGGGAGGGGGGTGAAATAGTGGCCCATGATAAATGAGGATATCTGGGATGTCCGGGAGTGTAACGCCTCATCTTGGGAGCAGATGCGGCGGAGGTGGAGGAATTGGGAATAGGGGATCGCATTCTTGCAGGAAGGTGGGTGAAAGGAGGTGTAATCTAGGTAGCTGTGGGAGTCGGTGGGCTTGAAGTAGGTATCAGTTTCAAGTTGGTTACCAGAGATGGAGACAGAGAGGTCCAGGAAGGAGAGAGAGGTATCAGAGATGGTCCAGGTGAACTTGAGGTTGGGGTGGAAGGTATTAGTAAAGTTGATGAACTGTTCGAGCTCCTCGTGGGAGCACGAGGCACCGCCAATAGTCATTGATGTAACGGAGGAAGAGGTGGGGGATAGTGCCAGTGTAGCTGCAGAAGAGGGACTGTTCCATGCATCTTACAAAAAGGCAGGCATAGCTTGGGCCCATGTGGGTACCCATGGCCACCCCTTTCGTTTGTAGGAAGTGGGAGGAGTTGAAGGAGAAGTTGTTAAGGGTAAGGACGAGCTCAGTTAGGTGGATAAGGGTGTCGGTGGAGGGGGGCTGGTTGGGCCTGCGGGACAGGAAGAAGTGGAGGGCTTTTAGGCCATCTGCATGGGGAATGCAATTGTATAGGGACTGGACATCCATGGTGAAGATGAGGTGTTGAGGGCCAGGGAATTGGAAGTTTTGGAGGAGGTGGAGGGCGTGGGTGGTGTCCCGGATGTAGGTGGGGAGTTCCTGGACCAGGGGGGAGAAAATGGAGTCGAGATAAGCAGAGATAAGTTCAGTGGGGCAGGAGTAGGCAGAGACAATGGGTTGGCCAGGGCAGTTGGGTTTATGGATTTTAGAAAGCAGATAGAAACAGGTGGTGCGGGGCTGGGGAAACGATCAGGTTGGAGGCTGTGGCTGGGAGATCACCTGAGGTGATAAGGTTATGGATGGTCTGGGAAATGATGTTTTGGTGGTCAGGGGTGGGGTCATGATCAAGGGGCATAACGATGCCATTCGGAAACTGGAGGAACAGCACCTCATATTTCACCTTGGAACCCTACAACCCAACGGTCTCAATGTGAACTTTACTAGCTTCAAAGTTTCCCCACCCCTGACCTCATCCCAAGACCAGCCCCCCCTCTCATCCCCGCCTCCTTGACCTGTCCATCTTCCTTCTCACCTATCCGCCCCTCCCTCCTCACTGACCAACCCCCATCCCAACTTCTCCTACCTACACATCACCCTTACTAGCTTCATCCCCACCTCCTTGACCTGTCCTTCTTCTCTCCCACCTATCTGCTCCACTATCCACCTTCTATCACCGCCCCCCTCTCTCTCTATCTATTTCAGAGCCCCCTTCCCATCCCCCAATTTCTGAAGAAAGGTCCAGACCCAAAACGTCAGCTTTCCTGCTCCTCTGATGCTGCCTGGCCTGCTGTGTTCCTCCAGCTCCACATCTTGTTATCTCAGATATGCAGCTAACCTTTTAAATAAGAAGGGGTCAGAAAATAAACAAAGGCATATGAGCGTCCTCCTCAACAAGTTACTGAAGGCTAACATGCAAGTACAGCAGGCAATTAGGCAGCAAAAATGAGAAGTTTTTAATCAACCACAAAATAATTAAAGTGATGCACAAGGTAGATGCAGGTGAGATGTTTCCCTTTGCTGGGGAGTCCAGAAGCAGAGGACACAATATCAAAAAAAGGAAAAAAAAACTCCTAACATGCTCAATATTTCCCAGATAACAGTGATCTCTCAGTGCTGGTATTTTTACACTTTTTTCTGTGTTTGTGTCCCTTCTGTAGTGTGAAGTTCAGAGTGTTTTAAGTGTAGCACATCTATACAAATTTACTGTAACTTCACCACTTTCAATTCATATATATATTTATATCCACCATATAGATGAATCCCAATACTTTAATGGCTTTTTAAAAATTACTTTGCTGTTCTACCCTGTTAAGTTCCTCATCTTCTAAGGTCTAGGTGATCTTTCTAATTTTTTGACTGAAGTGCATTTCTGTCCATTACAGTTTATTTGCCTATGAACTGCTTAGTATGTTTTTAAATCATATTTTCATATAATTTTGTATTTTTTCTCCGTGTTAGCCTTACTGCTAGTTTGACATTGTCTGCTAAAATTGGTGTTGAGCTTAAAATTCCTGAATCAAAATAATTCATACAAATAATGAATAACAGCAGTGTCAGAAAAGATCTTTGTAGAATGCCACTATCAGCCTTTTCCCAACCACAATAACTCCCTATATCCCTACTTTTTTTTCCTGTTTTGGCCAATACACCAGTCATTTAATTATTCATTCCCAAACACCACATGACCTAACTTTTGTCATGAACCTACAACATGTAGCCTTATTAAAGACATTATGCAAGTCTAAGTATATGCCATTTAGTCACTTGATGGAATTTGAGTATTGCTGGAAAATCATTTTTGTGCTCCTTTAATTGGCATATTCTGATGAGTACATACTGGCTCCTTGCCGGTACACAGACATGGTCCCACTGCTCCCCACCTGTATACAGTCATGGTCTCACTGCTCCTTGCCTGTACACAGCCACAGACTCACAGCCTGTAGTTTGCCATGGTCTTGCTGCTTGTGAATTGTCACAGTCTCTCTGCCTGTAGTTTGTCACAGTCCTGCTGCCTGTATATTGCCACAGTCTATCTGTCTGTAATCTGCTGCTGTCCAGCTGCCTGTACATTGCCACAGCCTCTCTGCCTGTAGTCTGCCATGGCACTGCTACCTGTACATTGCCACAGCCTCTCTGCCTGTAGTCTGCCATGGCACTG